CTTTATAATCTCATTATAACCATTTTAATGCCTTGTACAGCCACATTCCTCCCGGAAGTCGAGGAAGTTCATTGGCATAATTTACTGTAGCACTGATACTTTTGAATATATTTAGATACGTGTATATACTTTTTCACTTTCTACATCCTTTTGCAGGGTTGAAAAGGCACCATGTAAAAGTCCGATACAAACGCCAGATCATGTTGCTGATTTTAACGTTACAAACTTTCAATCCCAGCCGAGACATAAAACTGTTCCTGACAAACAGCTGTACTCTTACACACGGTGGTCGAGATCTCAAAGGCCTGATGCAAAGTATGTATCAAAATACGCTTTACATTGGATAATAGTGATGTTTATATAGATTTTTTATAAAACTTCACGTTTCTAACGTCATTTTTCATAATAGTAACGTTTATAAAGTATTATTTCATATAACAATGCACGTTTGTAACGTCGCTTTTCATTGGATAATCGTGACGTTTATTTAGTTTTATATACACGGCTGTTGTCGATTCATGAAGAAATCTTACTTTTTTCTCTAAAAAATGATGTTTGTTGTATTATAATTTCGGCTCGGGTTATATTTACAAACAGCCGTTTATATAGGGCTATATAACCTGTCAACAATCTTTATAACTTATAATATACACGGCTGTTGTCGATTCATGAAGAAATCACTAAAAAATGATGCTTACTGTATTATAAATTCGTTGTAAAGATTGTTGACAGGTTATATGGACGTATATAAACGGCTGTTTGCAATATAACCCTCGCCTAGCGACTCGAGTTATATTTACAAATAGCTGTTTATATATGTCCATATAACCAGTCAACAATCTTTATTATTTGGGACAACAACAAACAAAATCAAACTTAGCTAATTTTATTTATAGTCATACATAGTGGCATATGTAATTTATTTCACTGAGTAATGTCTTAGTAAATTTTATGGGCACGACTCCATTAATAAAAAAGTCAAAAGGTTGAGATACCCGGCAAACAAAACCCTGTTAGGGCGGGTATCCATAGCAAAACAAACAAATGACATAAAATCAAAATGACTATTAATATACCCGGTTACTGTTAATTTATCAAGAAATCTCAATTTTTCCCAACAAGAAGATGCTTCGCCATACATATTTCTGACAGGTTATATGGCCGTATACAACGGTTGTTTGCAATATAACCTTTTAAAAAGGGCCATATAACCTGGTCAAAAATCTTTAAAACAAATAATGTAAATGTCTTTGACGTAATTGCGCCTGTTTTCCTTGCAAACATAGGCAGCACATTTGAGCCGCGTCACGACAAAACCAACATAGTGCGTTTGCGACCAGCATGGATCCAGACCAGCCTGCGCATCCGCGCAGTCTGATCAGGATCCATGCTGTTCGCTATCAGTTTCTCTGCTTGTTATAGGATCTGTAAGTGAACAGCATAGATCCTGATCAGACTGCGCGGATGCGCAGGCTGGTCTGGATCCATGCTGGTCGCAAACCCATTATGTTGGTTTTGTCGTGACACGGCTCATTTCTTTTTGCATTGTTGACTTTGTAATCCAAGAAAGTCGAATCAGTAACGAGAACGTTTGAAATGCAACCCACCATCAACCATCATATTTACTGCCAAATCATCTTGATGTTGGTGAATAACTGTTTATACAATACAACTGTTTTACTCGGAACACAAGTTAAAATGGCCTGCTTTGTTGTTGTTTTTTTTTTGTATAATTATCAAGAATGTTTCGCATGACCAATTACATAGAAATTGCTGTAGAATGTGTTTTGCCTTAAAGATCGTATTTAAGCAAGTAAGAAAACAGGGATATTTTTTCTAATTTAGATTAAGTCACATGTTTTCACTATTGTAGACGCCATCGATTACTCTGGTATTTTCCGGTCATTCCAGACTGTCAATAACTAATGTATGTACTCCAATAGAAAAGAAAAAGCACATAAATTGTCGATTGTCACAAATGTTGTCATCCGAACATTGTCAAGGATCATTTGAGCCGTGCCACGACAAAACCAACATAATGGGTTTGCGACCAGCATGGATCCAGACCAGCCTGCGCATCCGCGCAGTCTGATCAGGATCCATGCTGTTCGCTGTCAGTTTCTCCACTTGTAATAGAGTTGATAAGCGAACAGTATGGATCCTGATCATACGGCTGGTCTGGATCCATGCTGGTCGCAAACCCAATATGTTGGTTTTGTCACGACACGGCTCATTTGTTTTCGCTTAATCAACCAAGTAAATATAATGTTGTGGCTTAATTTACATTTTAGTCGAGGTTTAAAAATATAAATGTATTTCAATGTTCACAGGAAATCGGATTCTGTTGAGCAGAAGCCAAAACTTCTCGCACGCACGAACACAACGAGCTGGAATGAAACGCGATACGAGCAACAAAATGTCCGGGAAAGTACAAACACTGTATCAGCAAGAGATAGGAATATAGATCCGTCGGAATACAATCCAATCGTTGCAGAGGGTAATATCCCGGCGACCAAGTTTAGATTAGCAAAGAAAGGCAAGTATCTTGGATTTGTTTTTAAAGCTATTTTGCCTCAGAAACAAATAAATCTTTACTTCTTTAGAGAGGACAAACCTGGGTTGATTACTTTTTAAATAATGGTTTTAGAGGATATTAGATGCTAGTTATGTAAAGAAAGTAACGCTAATTGTGAAATTAAAGTAGCAAATTTAAACAAAGTAGTATTTTGACTTCTATACAAAATATCAAATCCCTATAAACTGTACCAATTGCAAGTAAAAGATGGCCCTGATAATTGGCCAATGTGAATGTGACATTTAAGAAACTAAAAATGTATACAAAATATAAAAAATGTTTGAGAAATAAAAATAAAAGCATTTCTGGAACATAATGGACCTTTAAATCTTGTCAAATTTCCGGGTCTTAAAATATTATTTTTCAAAATGAATTGCAGGATAATTTTGTATTAGTCTTAATAAACTTGTTCAACACGCGCTTTCTTACATAATTATCAGTAAACAAAAACCGTTACAACGTATCCACATGGCAGAGGGGCCATTTGACTTATTTACAATCTCAAAATGCTAGGTTTGATCTTTCTATGCAAGCAAGCTACCTAGATTTTTTTTTCATCCGGTCACTGGCTCTTAAAAAGATGCCCTAACATGATATTTGTACAAGAAACATTAATTAACTGGCTTCGGTTGGAAATGGAAAATACAAATCTCATTTTATCTTTATGACTTTCGGTAAAGTTTTAATCGAACCGTTACAACACGACCCCTTTCTTACGAAAATAATTAAGCATATACTAAGCTTATTTTGCGAAAATAAAGTTTAATTGTTCGCCTATCATCTCTGAAATTTACAAATAGTGCACGTATAGTAAAGTGTTATGTACATGTATTTATCACACACCCGTGCCGATTTTGCGACTCCGTAAAATGATATTGCACGGCCGTGTAACGTCATTAGCGTTATACAAACATACAATAGTGTAAAGACGCATTATACTATAGTCGCGTCAATGAAAAATGACTCTTTTTTCACATTAAACGGTCTTTATTTTGGGTATGTGATAAATAGAATATTAAATTCGTGTAAGTTCATTACTGAATCTATTGAACTCCTTGAATTAAATAATAATATTATGCTCGCCATAGGCTCGCATAATATCATTGTATTCAAACCGTGCAATAAATTCAGTATTGAACTAACACTCATTCAATATCCTCTATATAATAAACAGTTTAAAAGGGCCAAGGCACATACTGTCTCAGATATGAATACATTTTTACTTCTTTAGAATGTGCTAATATGAATTTTATAACGTTTAAATAATATTTAAGAGCATGCTAGATTATTATCTAATAAAATTAGCGCTAAATGTGAAAAATTGTGTTGTAAAAGTAATAAAATGTAAACAAAGTAGTATTTTGAAGTACATAAAAAAGATAAATCACTATAACTGTGATAAATGCCAAAAAGTAACGCTTTTTCAGATAATTGGCCAATGATTATTTTCTTTAGAATTTATATATAAGCACAACAACAACAACAAAACAAACGAACAAAAAAAAAACAACAACAACAAAAACGCTTTTGAGAAATAAAATCAAAAATAAAATCAAAGAAATAAAATCAAAAGAAATAAAATCAAAAGAAATAAAATAAAAAGCATTTCTGGGGGCATAATGGGCCTATAACGAAAGTTAAATATATCCGTAAAGAAATAGTACTTTGAATAAAAAGCACTCAATTTACAATTTTAACCAAACTGCGCTTTAATGTTAATTTGCGTATGTAAATTTTAAAAAAGAAACTAGAGTTTGAGTATAGATTAATTATCAATAACTTATTACTTTACAAATCATTCCATTTAGTTTAAACCCGTATATGTTTTGCTATTTCAATGGTATCACACTTTTTGAATATTGAAATAAAAAATATTTGAGTAGAAGTCCAGTGCACTATTAAAAGGAAAACACTGTCATCTAAGAAAGCATTTGAAGCGTCTCAAGTATATTTGAAGCTAGTGACTTTTTTAAAATTTATATTTGTACAAAAACTTAACATTAAACTGATACCGTTTTGTGATTTCATAGTCTACATGAAATTATAGTTTTCGAGCACTTCAAAGAAACAGCTCAGCTTGACGAAAATTTTTATTTAAAAAATAAATGTCTAAAATGTACTTAATGCAAATGTTTACTTGACACTTATAAAATGTATGGTTTTAAAAATTTATTCAACTCTGTGGAGTGTTGTGTGTGTGGGGGGGGGGGGGGGGGGGGGGGGGGGGGGGGGGGGGGGGTGCGGAGCATCCGTGGCTGAGTGGTAAAAGTCGTTTGACTTCAAAACCACTAGCTTCTCACCGATGTGGGTTCTTTGGATTCTTTTATGTGAAGAAACTGTTCAACCACCTTACAAAACGTTGGTGGTTCTACTCGAGTGCCCGGTATAATGGACTGCAATAATGCACGGGAGGGGGGGGGGCACCAGGTAAAGCTGAACAGCTGTCATATGACTTTAAGTTCAAACCAAGCAGAAAAAAAGAGAAACAAAATATCATTTCACAATTCATTTAACAAGAAAATTTCTTAATCATTTCCAAGCTATACAAAAACGTTAATATATGTTAGCAACACTCCCATTATTGCGGCACACTTGGTAACTTAACATTGCTTTATTTTCAAACTATATATACATTTTAGTTAACACAGGTCAAAAGGTAGCAATGACCATAAAGAAACATAATGTCAATCTTCCGTCACTGACCAAGAACTCAAAGTCTCAGACGATGGCGGATTATGGCGGTAAAGTCAGTCGTGATAGGCCAGCCAAGGTATTGTATCCGTGACTTGTTACGATATAGCAATTGTCTTTCTGTAGAATTGTATTATAGACTTTAAGTCTGGTCCAATGTTGATTTAACTTAACCGTATGAGCCTGCTGTCGGCAACAGAGTGTACCCATGCGACCAGTCTAAACCACAGGCCTTCGACTCATTTGTCTTGCCAATAATGGTCAAATTATCATAAAATAATATCCCATAAAACTACTATCCAGCACCCGTTTACTGTATATAGTACACATTATATTGTAATAAACGGGTGCTGGATAGTAATTTTGTTCTTGATGATCAAGGGGAGATTATTTTATAATTTGACCATTATTGTAGTATTTAACTTAATTTTCTTCTTTCCCGTTTCATTTGCGTAACAACATACTTTTTATGAAATTATTATATCCTTTTTGCAGATTAAACGGAACGTATGTATACATATAAATCCAAATGCATGCATACTTATTGAAATTATCATTCATTTTTTTTCCAAAGATAAAACAGAGGTCGACCAGAATCATTGCGGAAGAGAGACCACGCACGCAAACGCCCCGGATCTCCACGCCAACAAAGGGTTCCCTCAAGGAAACCCACACAGTCCCAGAATTCCTATTTAAAGATTACTATATGCGTTCATTGTATGGAAATAAAACAAGAATCAACTCGCATATTAATGTCAATAAAACTGGTTAGTTATTTTGTTTTATTAGGCTTCGTTACAATATAAAAAGGGTCTTTATAATGAAATATTAATTTTCCAAAATACATGTACTGGTCGGAGACCATCAACCGGACACTTTTGGAACATTTTTCCGTACAGATTTCATAATTTTTAACCTAGAGACCAAAAAAAAAAAATTGACACAGTTCAGCTAGGTTCTTCTCCTAACTAACAAACTAGTTTGTTTATTTCTGATTGCATTGACACTTATATCTGAGGCTCGACAAGGAGGGTATCAAAATTACCTAAATTGTCTACACTACAGTACCATGTGTCCGGACAGATATGTACATGATGTGATTTAATTCAGATAAAAGCTTGGATGTTTTGATTTGTAACATGATATACAATATGTCAGCAACAAATGCTGAAGTTTTGGATATTCTTTTATTCACTCTGCAAATGATTATAGCTGATATATGTGGTCAGGCATTGCTTTCTTGGCCCCCGAAAACCAATGTCAACATTCTTGAAATAGACATTAAAATATCACCATTAACGGAGGTTGAAATAAATTTATTTACTTAATTTTAAAAGAAACATGCACTTATTGTTGATAAAAAAAGAGACTGACAACCACTGAACAAAGAAAATACTAAATTAAGCATTTTTGGGTCCGTCCGGGTTTGGTGGTTGTCCAGTTTTGGTGGTCCCCAACCAGTACACCTTCGTTTTTAAACTTGAGCATATGCTAAATTCATTTAATTTTAATATGTGTAAAAGTAAAGTACTTTAATTATTCTTGATAATTAAGCAAGATGAACTATGCAACATGTAAAGTGCAAGAATGTTTTAAGAAATGGAGATAATTTATTTTAGCTCATTGTTTTTGAAAGAGTTACGGCATTTTTGCAACATTTTAAGTGTATAATATAATATTTAATATGCCAAGCTCATTGTAACTTCATATAGAAACGCCCTTTGATGAAGATACCTTTCACAATTCAGTACCAATAACATTTCTATTTCAGACAAAGCACTGAGGAAAACACTTACAGTTGATAATTTGGAGCTTGTTGCTAAGCAACAGAAGAAGAAAAGTGACACCCCGAAATCTAAAGAACTTGCATTCACTCGCTCATTTACATTTTCCATGTTTGATCTGCCAGACATGTACAAATTATATAATACAACGTTAGAAAGGCGGGCCAATGGCGAGGAAATCGAAACACAAGAATAGAAAACAAACTATCGGTGTTGTTTTTATAAAAGAGATTTATTAAGTTTTTACAGAAAACTTTTACTTAGACCAATAAAATATTTGTCTTTCATATAAATAAAATATGCTTAAAATTATCATACATGGTCAATTACAATATCCTTCCAGCAACAGGAATTTACAACGTACATAAACAACAGTGTACATTAACAACAGGGTACATGAACAAATTGCAAGACGGATCAGCATCTTCAATAACAACGAGGAACATACTTCTGGTATTATTATACAGTTTTCATCAGTATTGCATCTAAGCTTGCAATATACGAAATCTTTATACGTGTATGGTCATTGCAAAAAGAAGAATTAAATAACACCTATGCTCGCGTCAATGTTTCATTCTGGTCGTGAGAGTAAACAAACCTAACACACACAAACCTCGTGCACCAGGTTATTATCCCGAATTTACCCCTGGTGAATCATCCTCTTTTCAATTCATCTTAATCGAACATAAAATTGAGACACTTGTACATACTAATCTTAAGTCATGGAAATGACAAAATATCAGTGTCCAAACAAGCATAAACCTCTGCTAAAGACCTCCTCTGAATAAAGATCATACACTGATTAATCTGTCATTTAATGATGTCTTTGCTATAGCATTTGAATAATCAGTGCATAACTAAACAGGTTTGACAGTACTATATTAAGCATATGCATACTAAATTTCAACCAACGATTTGTACCAATATAACAGTATTACTATCAGCTTTGCCTTCAACTGTTCCCAAGTTTGGCCATTCCCAAGTTTAGCCTACAATAACAGATGAAAGACGGTCATAAAACAAAGTTGCAGAGAGTTCAAGGAACAATCCTGTCTAAATATGATACATACTAAAGTAGTTAGAAAAATTACCATTCCTATAATATAAAGTCATGTAAATGTATTAACAACTTTCCTTATTCCTTCGTTTCCATAACAAACTAACCAATACAAAACTTTTGTATTATAAATATGTGATTCATATATGGTAAAATACTCAGATTCAACAAATCCATACTTGAAATTATGCAAGCATAACAACGGTGTTTTCAATTCTACTTGAATATCAAAAAGCAAAACCAAAGTATTTGAACCAAATTAACACTAAAATACAACTCTTTACATTGAAATTCAACTCTTTCAAAAAGTAAATCTTTAATTATAAAAAAGGACAACAATATATTTATTATAAATAATTTGTTAATGTCATAGTATCACAAAAGACAGCAGTTTTATGCAATGATTATGTTGAACTCTCCACTTGTGACTGAGGCCTGTCTTTTTTAACATAATGTAGATGTTCGTGTGTCTGTAGCATAGATCTAACAAAAAACACATTGTTGTTTTTATCTCACAGCTGAGAAAGTGGTTGTATTCCTAACAAAGCCAAACCATTTATCATTACTTGGTGAACAGCTTTCAGTAGATATAAACGAGCATACATTGTTGGTAGAAGCTGTGCTCTCCCCTCCTGTAATGAAAGTAATATTCAATGATATTTAAACATTGCACAATATGTTTGAAAACTTTACAGGGTAATTGAAAAAGTCCATATGACGCAGATGCCTAGACATTTCACTGTTTGTCAGTCTACCGATGAACAATGTGACAGTGGGACAAATGGACAGACAGGATCAAATTTGTATGTTCCCCCCTAAGGAGGCATACAAAACTGTAACATATGTTACAATCATTATCAACGTGGAAATAATGACAAGCCAGTCTGATGTCAAGTTAAACTAAATCTTTAACAAGTATTTAAAGCAAAAACAAATGCTTAATTCATCAATTCATACATATGTTAAATTATGCATATAGAGAAAAACAGAAATGCCTGAAGAACACCCAATATTAAATTGCATCAGGTTCAGTTTTATTAAGCCTATTCATAGATGTAAGTGGTAAGTGCAAGTTGCCAGAGACATGCCCTAGCATCATTTTTGTTAATTGCTGGATATATCATACTAAGGCATATTCAATTAAATGTTTGCACTTTTAACTTACTTCTAAATGCCATTAAGGTTACAATACATATTTATACACAACTGACGTCTGAACTATTAAATCAAAATGCATCATAAAGCCATTTGACTTTCACATAGTAAAAGCCATTATTACTTTTTACTTTAATAATATAAACACTTTACATAACCTGCAGAAATAGGATAATTATCCGTCTGAGAATTGAATAAATGTGTGAAGAATTTGAAGATTAATAATAATACATTTTTATTTTAACTGTTAAGAGGAACAATGTGTTTACTTACCCCTAGAACATGATATCTACTATAGTAAGAACTCAAGTTTCTGCTTAGACTGATAAGCATTTGGCATACCTAGAGGTAACAACATTTAACTAGTTAAAGAGTAGAAACAGGGGTGAAAATGCTACAGCAATTATATGTATTAAAACGAAAATAAAATTTAATGTCAAATATTCAACACTTATTTGACACAAGATTCAATTTTGTGTTATTTTCATAGTGATGATTATTTAGGTTTTATTTTGTTGGAAGTAAAAATATTATTAATCTTTATTCTGTAGACTATGTCAATTTATCACCCTAGAGTAGTACATATGAGTTATTGCATTGTGTGATATTAAAGATACACAGATGTATAACACCAATGATAAATTATTAAAATTTTTCAGAAAGTATTATGAGATCAATATAAACATTCTTTCCTACAATAAATTACACATTATACAATATAAATTTGAAACTTTACCTTATGTGTATGTATTTTGGCATATATTGTATCACAGTCATCTAGGTTATCTATTGTCTGCTCCACTAAATCTGGGAACGTGCACACATAATTAAACAGTAAACTCCACTCTGCCTGTAAAATTTGAGAAAAGTACAATATTCATTTCTAAAGGTGAACTAAGAATAAAAAAGTGAACAAGTACTATAATGTAAAAGGAGATCATAAATGTAATAAGAGTATAGGGTTAATGAACCAACAGATTTTAATATGATAAAATTGAATAAACAAAAAATATGTTAAAGTAAAATGGCAACTTTATTTGGTGACAAATATTGTTATTAATCAAACACTATCTTCAGTTTATATATGTAAACTTTTCTGTAAAATTAAGAAATTTCACTTCAATTTCGCATATAATTTAGCATATGTTTTACACAAACAACATGTATTTAGTCAGGAAAATTTAAGAGTAAACAAGAGCTGTCTGTAGGACAGCATGCTCGACTATTCTAAGTGCTTGATAGTAAAAGAGCCTTGATATTGCTAAATGTTTTAAGTTCACAAAAGGGCTAATTTTTTTTTATAAATTCATGTTATAGGCCTTAGAGAGAGTCTAATTATACAGAATTGGCTTGACTATTCGGAAGGTAATGTCACAAGGGTTTTTTATTGAGTATAATAATACTAATTACCTATGAATACATAAATTTGACAGAAAGGGTACAAAGGCTTGTTACTAAGATGTTTTATCAAGTAAATCACTACTTTATTATTATGAATGCATAAAATTGTCCAAAAAAAGGCACAAACCCTTCAGTAGTTATTGAGATAACAGCTTACAAGCATGAATTTCTAAGTTGAAAAAGGGGAGAAAAATCAGCCTAAATGCATGATAGAATTATGGATCTTTGTCAGTGACCTACAATTATGACCCTAAATGCATATGTGAAGTTTTAAATAAATATCTTTAATAGTTATTGAGATATGTAAAACTTGCATGTAAACATTAACCAAGAGACTAAGTAGAAAAGGGGATATGAATCAGCCTTAATGCAAGATAGAGTTATGGAACTTGGTCAGTGACATACAATTATGACCCTCCAATTATGACCCTAAGTGCATGTGTAAAGTTTCAAGTAAATATCTTTGAAGACCGTTAACCTTTAACCAAAATTTCTAAGTTTCAAAGGGGTAAATAATTCTGCAAATATTGCAGACAGAGTTATGCAATTTTTCAAACTGATGTACATTGTTACTATAAATAAGTATTTTAAATTTCAATTGATTATCTCAAGCAATAATTGAGATATTTGACTTTACAAAAAACTTTAACCAAAATTTCTAAGTTCCAAAGGGGCATAATTCTGTCAATATGGTAGGCAGAGTTATCCAACTTGTCAATCTGATGTATATTGTTACTATAAATAAGTATTGTAAGTTTCAATTGAATATCTCAAGCAATAATTGAGATATTTGACTTTACAAAAAACTTTAACCAAAATTTCTAAGTTAAAAAGGGGCATAATTCTGTCAATATTGTAGGCAGAGTAATCCAACTTGTCAATCTGATGTACCTTGTTACTATAAATAAGTATTGTAAGTTTCAATTGAATATCTCAAGTAATAATTGAGATATTTGACTTTACAAAAAACTTTAACCAATGCAGACGCCGACGCGGACGCCGACGCCGGGGCGACTACAATAGCTCTCATATTCTTCGTATAGTCGAGCTAAAAATTGGATATTATATAAAAAATTTATAGCTATAAAATTTTTCCTTTACCTCTTCTCTCAGTACACTAAAGTCAATCTTACTGATTGGTGGCAGAGGTGGATAGGTCTCTGAAAATCAAAATGTCACATTTAATTTTGTCACTGTAGAGTATATAATGGTCTATATAAGTAAGTATATACAAATTTATTTAAGAAATAACATCGGCCTGAGAGGTGTATATCGGCTATTTAACACCGGTTTGGAGTTTTGATGCGTAGGAATTGACCACGATGGCCGTAGGCCTGAGTGGTTAATTTTCTCGCATCGAAACGACAAACCGGTGTTAAATAGCCGATATACACCTCTCAGACCGATGTTATTTCGATTCTAACACGATAAAATAAGGAAAATCACTGATGTTATTTTTCAGGCGGAATTAACTTCCGGTGCCGATTTTCGTATAACGCTGTTCGATTTTCGCACCCTGCTGTTGCGAAGATATAGAAATTATTAAACAAAAGAAATAATAAGGAAAAAAAACGTTATTTTATCAAGTTTTCAACAATAAAAACTTACGTCGTATTGTGTTTACGTCAGTGCTCCATTTATCATTATTGTATGTATGAAATAACGTCAGCTTGTTTATGCATGAGTTGTTTACTTAGGATGACGTCATTACGCTGCTTATACGGATTGGCGCCGTTTTGTCAAAATATTTATTAACTGATATGGATCTAATATGTGGCGTTAGTGTATGTGAGATATTATTTCGGTATTTATGAAAAGAAAGCATTATACGAACTGAAAATATTTATAAATAAAAATGCTTTTTATTGTTGCTTTAAAATGCTTTGTAAACTATACAATCGAGGGTGAAAACATAACAGCGCATATACAAGTAGTCCCTAACAGGTGTTTATTGGCAGTTTAACACCAGTTTTTTTCCTTCTTTGTCTATAGTGACAAAATCACGTGAGTGTTAGAATATGAAATTTGAATGATTTTGTCCAGACTGAAATAGGGACAAGTCACTTTAAGTAATTCAGTGTGGTATGTTAGTAAACAGTTTTTATTCATCAAAATTAAAAAAGTTTTTAACTTACCACTGTCAACCTCCTCCTGGAAATGTTTAAAGAGTGTAGCCAGCCTAGCACAGTTATACATGACAAATGATCCACTTGACGTAGCCAGACCACTACCTTCCATATCCTCATCCTCAGATAGATCCAGCTTCAACTGTAGAAGGAAGTATAAATACAATGGTCAGAATGCTTTGTTTTATTAATCTTAAAGCAGCATGCCTCCAGATAAATGCTTATTTTCATGAAAATTTGAAAATGTAATTAAAAGTAAAATGTTTTATAGTAACCAAAAGCAATTTACACATTATCAATTGTACTTACAACCCACGATTATTACAAAAAGTGGTCAAAATATGCCAAAATTGTCCTTACTGTGTAAGTAATGCAGTAGAAATATAGTTATACATAATGAAAAATTAACCATTAATCTCTCATAACATGTAAATTATTACTTGAATCTTGAATCTTTCCACATTTCCTAAAATCTATAATACATTTTTCTCAAGTTTGACTTTATTGTAATATTGTGCTCATCTGGAGACATGCTCTTCTAATGTTGCTAGGTTTGTAACAATGATATAGATAATCTTTAGTCCTGTCCTATATACAGGACTAGTTTCACTTTGAATTGGAAACATGGAAAAAACTAAAATTAAGCATTCAATAGTGTAGATTCTGTCATTTGTGTAGAATCACCCGACTTTGTACTTGTAGTAAAGACAAAAAACTATCTCAGCATGCATTCAAAATGTGGATGTTACACCATATAATAACATAGTTACATCGGAGATTTATATAACATGGTTACATTAAATGAAATGTGTTGTGCATTGAACATAATTCCAAAAACTAAAACCATTGTGGCTATTAGAAAGAATATAACTGAAACATCTGAATTAATCTGTGACATTATTAACGTTTTCCCTCATATAAGTGTGTTTCAACAGCTTTTTGCCCCCCCCCCCTTTTTGAGGCCTCAAACAGTGAAAAAATGCCCTATTTAGGCCCCAAACACTGGTTTTCGTTTGAGAAATGTTGTAAAAAAAAGTGACCACTTTTTCGGCGTCGCCCCCCATCCAAATGTTACATCAGGGGGTTGCCAGAAGGGGGATGTGCCCCCTTCTGTTAGGTGGGTTTGAAGGGGGGCGGAGTCCCCCTCATCACCAAGAAAATTTTGGACATGTGACATGCTAAAAATGGCCTCAGGTCAATCTGAGGGTAACTAGTAACCGACGCTGAAAAGCCTTTTACTCTATCTCAATTCATTGAGAAGTTGCAGCACTTTGAAATCAGTTTTGATGGAAAAAAACAATGCAAAATAGTGATTTTTGGCAATTTTGAGACGTCCCCCCGTTGCCATGGTAACAGGAAATTTACGGTTGAGCATGCTGTTACAGAGGCTATGGTGTAGTCAAAATTTGTGCCAAGTTTCATCAGTATTGAAGCATTTTTCATAGTTTCATAGCAGTTTGAACTTGTTACAGGAGGCTTTTCAATGAAAACAGCCATTTTTCGCAATATGCTCATGGGGTCAAAGGTTAAGGTGAGTAAATTTTTACCTAGATGGATAGGTGTAAAAGAAATGTCCTGCTAATGAAAATAAAATTGAATCAATGTTTAATTGGTTAATTATCTTAAATCAGTCTCCAAATATAATTTATTTCATTACAAACTTACAGTATTTCTGGACACACAAGATAGCATCTCAAACTTGATACAAGCTGCAGTGAGGGCCTCCAAAGTGGCAGCCCAACCCTCACCTGAAATAAGTAAAAATATAGGACATTCATGACAATTTAGTTTAATATACAGACCTTATTTAGTTACATTCTGTAGGAAACTATTAGTTTATAGACACTTTATAATCCATTTCTGGAAGTTTCTTGCACAAGGGTACAACAGACTGCCCATGACAGGGTTTGATCCAACATAGACAGCAATGTTTTTTTAGTTTTTTAGTTGAAAGGGATGACCACTTTACCATGCCAATTTACTAAGATTTATTACATGTATTATGTATCTGAAATTTCTTAACAATCATATAGCTCACTTCTAAAACTTTTAATTTAAACATTTCTTATATTTACCTTACAGTCAATTTGTAGAATTACTATCAATTTGCAGACTTGGGTAAATATAAAAATCTGGAAATTCATTTCTTAAAATTCAAAGGAAAGTCAAATAAAGTATTATTTATAATAGAGTAATGGCACTAATTTAAACTTATTGTAAAGTTTGTGAGCAGTAAAAACAACTTAGTTACCATGGACAGCCTCCCCATATTTCATGATAGCAGCTTGCCTTAACTGTGCATATCTCAACCTGTAACAAAATAACATGTAACATTTGACTACAACATGGTAGTAAAATCTCTGTAATAAACAAAATAAAAAACTTGGAATGTTACCACATCCACATTCCACTGCATTGTCAAATTATTTACAGAGTATGACTGTAGGACAGTGTGACAGACAGAGAAGGGCAAATCTATATGCTTACCCCTTTGTGCTTTACATCACTTTGATCCCCTCTTTGAGAGGGCATGATATAAACTGTATCATTTTTAAACAACTTCTCCATTATCTATTTAAAAGGCCGATACATGTAATATGAATTTATATGTTACTTGTACAAATTCACTTGGTAAAATATTGACAAAGTATAAATAATACTTCCTAACAAACAATTCATTACATAATACATGCAGTTTACATATTTAGAAAACTCCTGATATCATTCATTTGAAATAAACTTAAATACATGTAAGTTTAAACATTTTCTTCTATAATTATAAGATGCAAAATGTTTCATAACCTGTGACATCATGAATTCAAAACAGACAGGAAGAAAGAAAACTTTACAAATTGATACTATTAAAACTTGTTATCAAACACTGATATTATTACATACAGTACAATCTCTGCAAAGTAACACCCTTTGGAAGACTAAGATTTTGGTTGATACAGAGAGGTGTTGCCTTGGAGAGGTTGTGAATTCTTTCATTGAAAAGAAATGATAGTATTGTAATAAAGAGGTAATTGGTCTACAGAGGGTCATTCAGAAGTTACACTGTACTGGGATGGACAATCAGTTTACCGGACAAAAGCTATTACTGCTGAATAGTGCTTTATTTTTTGCTTCAATTAAAAAATCATACAGTCTGAATCGTACACACACTTTCTATTTCAAAGTAAACAAGCAATTATCATAGTATTGCAAGCAATCCATAAGTCCCCTACCGGTTAGAACCCCATCAACATTCTGAAGGGCCATTGGCCATTCACTAATGTTTCAATTTTTCTCTATTTTAAGTAAACTTGTTGGAAAAGTTCTTTAAAAGTGATCACAGGAAACAGTTTTTATGAACAGAAAGACAGACGGACTGAAGGACACTCTAAAGTTAATATTTAAAACATCCCTGTTACCAAAATATAACATTTTAAAAGCAAAATTCTTAAAGAGGAGATAACTCTTGAATTAAAGATGCAATTTCATATAAATTTTCAGCTCTTTTTGACTAATCACAAATATTGTTGTATTTGCCATGTTTTAAGCCTATTTGTTGCCAAGGCAACTGATATTTTTTCAAAATAGGAAGAACAGAAAAGACATGCATAATCTCAAGACTGCTATCTACCCATATGTCAAGTTTCATTAAAATATTTCCAGTACTTTTTGAGTTATCACTGGATTCAGTTTATGTGTAAAATTTGCCATATTTTCAGTCTATGTGTTGCCATAGCAACCAGAATTCTCAACATAGGAAGAAAAGAAAAAGACTTGCATAATCTCAAGACTGCCATCTACCCATAATTATGTCAAGTTTCATAAAAATATTTCCAGTACTTTTTGCTTTATCACTGGATCCAGTTTATGTGTAAAATTTGCCATAATTTCAGCATATTTGTTGCCATAGCAACCAGAATTCTCAACATAGGAAGAAAAGAAAAAGACGTGCATAATCTCAAGACTGCCATCTACCCATATGTCAAGTTTCATAAAAAATTTCCAGTACTTTTTGCTTTATCACTGGATCCAGTTTATGTGTAAAATTTGCCATATTTTCAGCCTATTTGTTGCCATAGCAACCAGAATTTTCAACATAGGAAGAAAAGAAAAAGACGTGCATAATCCCAAGACTGCCATCTACCCATATGTCAAGTTTCATAAATATATTTAAAGTACTTTTTGCGTTATCACTGGATCCAGTTTATGTGTAAAATTTGCCATATTTTCAGCCTATTTGTTGCCATAGCAACCAGAATTTTCAACATAGGAAGAAAAGAAAAAGACGTGCATAATCTCCATACTGCCATCTATCCATATACCAAGTTTCATAAAAATATTTTCAGTACTTTTCAAGTTATCGTGGGATCCAGTTTTGTGGACGGACGGACTGACGGACTGACAGACAGACGGACGGACAGACGGACGGACAGACGGACGGAGGGTAAACCTAAAGTCCCCTCCGGTAAACCGGTAGGGGACTAATAACAACAAAACCACTCTCAGATAAATATTGTTGATTCAGTTCTTTATCTACTAACGTGCCCTTTTGTTTACTAGTTATTTCATGACCTGATCATGCGGAGGAATAATCTGTTCTGCGCAGGCCCGATTATGGAGACCCTTAATGGTTTTTTTTTAGATAGGTTTTACTTTTAATTTTTTTCAAAGTTACCTCAAGAGACAATCGTAACATAATTTAATGATAAAAAGTAATTTTAAATTTAGTCAAAACAGTATCTCGTTGTTGTCTTTTACAAAGAAGTGCAAATTAAAAAACATATAAGGAAACGGGTTATGCCCATTGGAGGAAATTTTACATGAAATGTAAATAAAAAAGATTTTATGGCTTTTGTAACATGCTACATGATGACCAAAAAGAAACTGTATGACAAAGAACAGATTTCCACTTGAATATTAAAATGTTTCATACGTCTAAGGATCATGAAGAATCAATACGTTAATTGAGTCAATAGTGTTAATAGTGCTAATTTCAATTACACCCCATATATTGGCCTCTTCATAACAGGCATGGCTGCCGTGTCTATTTCTAGTGACATACTGGGTTTTTCAAATATCTTAACCTTGTCATTCAATAGTCGTAGTTTCCTTGCTGATTATTTAAATATTAATTTCAATTCACAACACAAATTTTTGAAACACAATGTCCGGTAAATTGAGTTGTTTACACGATTTTTTCCCTCTTATAATGCCCTACTTTCAAGACACATTTCTACGGTCAAATGTTTAACTTCATGTTTGATAAAGGAATGTTTACGTGCAGTAAGAACCCAAAATAAAATGGGTAAAATTCAATTCTTTTTTATTATCTTAAATAAAAGTTACAGATAAAAAACTTCATATTTTGTCCGGTAATATGTAGGATCCCAGTAATTGATTAAAGTGACATTATGGTCAAGTTTTTCGCTGTCAAGTTGAGTTAAATTAATGATATATTTAAAAACACTATCCATTATAATGGTGATTGACCAATATTTGATAATGTAAAATGTTTTTGATACATTACAAAAACTACCTAAATGATTAAAAAAACTGACTCACTCTTTTTATATAGAATTGAGCATTACAGATACATTCTGAATGATATTTATAAAAATTTTCATTGGTCAAAAAATCTCGGCTTTTCATCCACCAGAATGCCCTTTAATTAAGATGTCTTATTCATCTCTTCTCACTGATTTATATACAAACATGAATGAAAAATGTAAAAATCTGCGAAAACAAGAGCTGTCGGTAGGACAGCAACGCTCGACTATTCTTAGTGCTTGATAGTAAAAAAAAATGCTTGATAGAGTTACCTCCTCCTGTTTACAGGTTGATGTCATGATGGTGAACAAGTGTGCAAAGTTTCAAAGCCATATGTCAATGGACTTTGAAAATATTTGAACTATTACAAAAACTTTAACGTAAATTCTAAGTCGAAAAAGGGGCATAATTCTGTCAAAATGCTTGATAGAGTTACCTCCTCCTGTTTCCAGGTTGGGGTCATGATGGTGAACAAGTGTGCAAAGTTTCAAAGCCATATGTCAATGGACTTTGAAAATATTTGAACTATTCCAAAAGATTTAACGTAAATTCTAAGTCGAAAAAGGGGCATAATTCTGTCAAAATGCTTGATAGAGTTACCTCTTCCTGTTTACAGGTTGGGGTCATGATGCTGAATAAGTGTGCAAAGTTTCAAAGCCATATGTCAATGGACTTTGAAAATATTTGAACTATTACAAAAACTTTAACGTAAATTCTAAGTCCAAAAGGGGCATAATTCTGTCAAAATGCTTGATAGAGTTACCTCCTCCTGTTTACAGGTTGGGGTCATGATGCTGAACAAGTGTGCAAAGTTTCAAAGCCATATGTCAATGGACTTTGAAAATATTTGAACTATTACAAAAACTTTAACGTAAATTCTAAGTCGAAAAAGGGGCATAATTCTGTCAAAATGCTTGATAGAGTTACCTCCTCCTGTCTACAGGTTGGGGTCATGATGGTGAACAAGTGTGCAAAGTTTCAAAGCCATATGTCTATGGACTTTGAAAATATTTGAACTATTACAAAAACTTTAACATAAGTGGTTACGCCGACGCCGACGCTCGGGTGACTGCAATAGCTCTACTTATTCTTATCGAATAGTCGAGCTAAAAATGATTTCTTATACTTTGATATTATGATTTCTGCAAGCATATAGAGTTTCTGCTCTAACACTGTAGTGAGTTAAATCCATAATAAATTACAAACCTGAAAAGATCATCAGCTGTATGAATATCACTATCAGAACATGATTGTCTCTTTGTAACCGGTCCATACACAAAATGTTTCTGAAATAAAAAAATAATGGAGAAATTTTACAGACATTTCATTCATAACGATTATAATCATAATGAGAAATGCATATATGAAATGCATATATCAAAACATTATGTATGTTTAGATTATTTGTCTGTTTGTGTTTTTACATAGATTTTAAGACAATTTTTTCAAATACAACTTGATGGTTATGCTGACTGAATGACTGACTGACTGACCGACTTTAAATCCTACATGATTCAGCGGTGAGTGACAAATGAACATAAGACTCAATGTCTGATAATGGTGCCTTTAAGATAATTGAGCCGCGTCATGACAAAACCAACATAATGCGTTTGCGACCAGCATGGATCCAGACCAGCCTGCGCATCTGTGCAGTCTGATCAGGATCCATGCTGTTCGCTATCGGTTTCTCTACTTGTTATAGAGTTTGTAAGCGAACAGCATGGATCCTGATCAGACTGCGCAGATGCGCAGGCTGGTCTGTATCCATGCTGGTCGCAAACCCATTATGTTGGTTTTGTCTTGACACGGCTCATATAAGTTAACTGTTTAGTGATATTGCGCTGTCTGAATGAATGGTACCTGAGTTGTTGATTTTTCATCTATATCAAGTAATTCTCGTAGAATAAGGTGAATCTTTTGACTAGAGAATGCATGACTCTGTCCAGTAACATGGATACACTTCTGGGCTTTCTGCTCCTAAAATGCAATTCAATTAATTTAAAACATTTTATTTGAATGTAAAAAAGAAAATTCATTTACATGTAATTTTAAAGCTAATTTCAGATGCCGACTTTAAATGATTTACAAAATGGCCCAAATTAAATTCAACTAAAATCAAGACAAACCAATGTTTATCAATAGATTAAACATTAAATATTATCCAACTATGTAGGGCTTTATCCATAGATGGTTACTCCAAGTGGGACACCTTTGGCTTTTTTCTTTTTATGGAATTTGAAATGTGTTCATTATTTATTTAATATTTTAGAAACAATTTTTTTAGTTTATTTCATTAAGACTATAATAAAAGCAACTTACCTTTAATGCATCACTGACTAGGACAGAAGTATTCAAGAGTTCAGCTGGTGAATCCAAACTGAAAACTGTAATAAATAAAATTGATACAAAATTTCATTTATCAAATGCCACATCTATAAATGAAATGAAATTGGTAGTTGCAATTTAATAGAAATAGGAAAAGCAATGCAAATTTATCATTATACGAACATCGACTTTATTTTAATGCTTAAGTTGTAGCATTAGGATTATGAACTCTAATGAAATTGTAAATATCATTAAAGTTTGAGTAATATCGTTATAAACTCAAAATCACTTTTGACTCCTTTTGACAAACGTTGCATTACCTATTTATAGTACATTTTGGTCATGCAAGAAGTTGTATTTAACATTGCCATTACTATTTGAAGGAATACCAATATAGTGTTCCCCATACATGCTCATTACAGTCAGTCCTTCAGTGAGTTTTCATTGTAGATAAACATTCTACATGAAATACAGCATCAATCATAAAAATATATTAATAATATTTAATTAATCATAATTAGTATAAATCTCATACCTTCACATACAGATAAATTCTTATCAAAACCTGTTTTTCCAACATTTAGGTTTTTGTCCTTCAAATATTCCCTCATATTAAACTCATAAGCCAGTCTAGGCCCACTATCAGTCTTGGCTGTTTCACTAACCCTCTCAGAATCTCCTTTTTCTATACCAGTTCCTTCTGTTTTCTCTACTTTTTCAATAAATTTATTCATTAAAAATTTAGATATTACAGAATTTTTAGAATCAGTATTTACAGCTCCTTCTAAGATACTACTTGAGTCAGTTCCATACTGCGACAGCACAGGCCTATAATTTTCATATGTATCCTTCCTCACCAGTTGAAAAACGTCATAACTGAAATATAAGGCACAATTGCACAACAAACATTTCAAAACTATTAATGTATGATTAAAATGTGCATGTACTAGACATCTCAAAGGTACAGTTTTCCTGATTTATTGAGTGCTGAAAATGTATTTGGGTAAACTATATGAGTTGTTATTATTTATCACTGACCTATTTGTTTTAATGCTTAAGGACATTGATTCACATGGAATATTCCTTTAAAGTAATACATCTATTATCTATAATTACAGCGCAAGATTAATATTTTAATTTGGCTGTTTAGTGTTGCTGCTATAGCAAAAGGAAAACAAGAAGAACAAGAGCTGTCGGAAGGACAGCAACGCTCGACTATTCTTAGTGCTTGATAGTAAAAAAAAATGCTTGATAGAGTTACCTCCTCCTGTTTACAGGTTGGGGTCATGATGGTGAACAAGTGTGCAAAGTTTCAAAGCCATATGTCAATGGACTTTGAAAATATTTGAACTATTACAAAAACTTTAACGTAAATTCTAAGTCGAAAAAGGGGCATAATTCTGTCAAAATGCTTGATAGAGTTACCTCCTCTTGTCTACAGGTTGGGGTCATGATGGTGAACATGTGTGAAAAGTTTCAAACCATATGTCAATGGACTTTGAAAATATTTGAACTATTACAAAAACTTTAACGTAAATTCTAAGTAAAAAAAGGGGCATAATTCTGTCAAAATGCTTGATAGAGTTACCTCCTCCTGTCTACAGGTTGGGGTCATGATGGTGAACAAGTGTGCAAAGTTTCAAAGCCTTATGTCAATGGACTTTGAAAATATTTGAACTATTACAAAAACTTTAACGTAAATTCTAAGTTGAAAAAGGGGCATAATTCTGTCAAAATACTTGATAGTTACCTCCTCCTGTCTACAGGTTAAGGTCATGATGGTGAACAAGTGTGCAAAGTTTCAAAGCCATATGTCAATGGACTTTAAAAATATTTGAACTATTACAAAAACTTTAACATAAGTGGTTACGCCGACGCTCGGGTGACTACAATAGCTCTACTTATTCTTATCGAATAATCGAGCTAAAAAAATTGTAATATCATGATTATGTAAAAAATGATAACAATCAGCCAATTAAAGAAACAATATATCTACAAAAAAAACTCTTTTGTTCTGGACAGGCGTACTTCTTCAAGTCAACGACCAAGTAGAATGAATTTATTAGATACAATCCTATGGTCAAGTCAGAATATCTGAGGGAAACAAGTATGTCTTCAATTAGCCACAGTGTATAAACTGTGTACTTCCTGTTTTAGCACGAAAAGTTTGAGTAAAAATATGTAGGCTTTCAAGCCCCAAGAAAGGTATAGTGATTTGAAGTAGAAGACTGGGCAGATGCTTGTAATTGCAAGACATTGAATTTGTATAAGCTAGAAAGACAAGGTTATAAACTGTGATAGCAGTAAATAAAAGGAAACAACAAAACAAAATAAAGACAAAACATGACATACCATTGACTTTGTAGAAGCTGAACCATGTGATCCTGTACCATTAATGACCTTAGTGAATCCAGTGAAATATCATCTTTGTTCAATAATGTTTTGTTGTTTAAAAGACACTCATTGCAAAGGAGGATAGTTTCATTTCTCTTTTCATCTTTCAAGCCATATCTCTCCTTTTGGATCATAACACTCTGTATTGCTTCTTTAAAGATGATAGTTCTGTCTAAATAAACTGTTATACTGTTGAACTCATCCCCTGATACCTTTTTGACAGGTTGTCCTGATTCTAACAATGATTTAAATATTTTGTCTCTCAATTTCTGAAGAACCTTTATGGAAAAAGAGGACAAAAATGTAAAAAAAACCTTAATTTATCATTAAACAAAAATTGAAGAAAAAAATTCTGTTTTAATAATGACAGCACCATTACTATAATTTTACACATTATTAATACATTTTTTTAAAAACACAACTACTTGTGTAACATGAAGATTTGAATTTTCCTTTTGATTTTATTAATCCCAAAATTAGATTTTAAGCGAATTTATGTAATCTGAAAGGTGGATGCAATTAAGATTTCATATAAAACTTGAAATGTAAAAATAGTGTTTGGTAGTGTTGAGTGAATTGTGCCTACTGTCATATTAAACATGGTCGAATTAGAACTATAACTTCGTTCAAAGAACTCACTTTGAGGCTTTGCCTTATTCATATTATTTGAGATAAGTATTACTCTAATTGCTTACAGACAATGGATATTATTATACAACTAGGTCTATATATACTTTGTCAAAATATATTGACATGCCAAAGCTAGATTCTGAGAGGTTTTTTTTCTGGGTCCAGGGGTGCGGAATAACTATGCCCGACTCAAGACGTTTTGTTGGCGGACAAGTAGATTTTCACGTAGTGGTTGTCCGAGGACAAGTGAAATTTCTGAGTCAGAATAAAAGCAAAATGCAAAATTCTAACTGTACTTGGTCATGAATGTTAAATTTTTCCCGCTGTTGTTTATTCCTTGTAAATTTTGTCTGTACACCGTCTTAAACAGCACAAAAAAGTCAATACTATACGATGCTATTTCACCCCGTATGTGGCTTCTATTGGAAAACAAGCTTGGCGATTGTTTATATTGAGGCAACCGACCGGTGCCTTAGTAAATAATGCTCAGCATCATTTTTTCGTTGTTGCATTGTGAACTGGTTTGATATAAAAAGGACAAATTTTTTGTTAGGTCTGAAAAGAATCTGAAGAAGCGTAAATCAAAAGTGCAGACAGACAAAGAATATGACCACGTACGCATTTGTGTGTTTAACAATAGCTTTTTTTAGACTGTTTTTACTTGGCTACAAAAAGACCATAATTTGGACAAACTTTATAGCGAGCTCGACGAGCTGGCCTGAAGGGCCTGCTCGCAAAGCGAGCTTTACGGTATTGCGAGTACCTGCTAAGTGATGGTTTTGAAAACTTTCGTCCAAAGTACCGAATTGACACATCACAACTTTTCGAATTACAAGATAACAATAAAAGCCGATGTACTCAGATTGAAAACGGAAGCGTAGACTGGTGTCCTGCGCACTTATAAAGGAACCATAATAGAAAGGAGGAACCATAATAGAAAGGAGGAACCATAATAAACGGAAGCAGTGTATAAAATACCAAATGACAATTTTAAAACGGAAAATGTGAAATAAAAATGAACAATTATTTAAAACTATTTTATGGTAAAAGAAAAAGAAAATCGAGCTCGCTTTGAGGCTTTGCCTTTTTCATATTATTGTCATGTTTGCAGAATGTAAATCTCGCAAACCGCGGATAAGACCTCGAGAAATCATGATTAAGAAAGGACACTCTTACATCACAACCACATGTTTTCCTATCGTGTCATGTGTGTCGAAATACGAATTTTAGCAAAACCCCAATAACATGGACCCATTGTTTAAATAAAGTCATTGTAATAAACTTTTTCTACTGTTTAGTTTGGCAAGTGAACTTTTGCTGCGAACTGCAAGTAGAAATTTTAGTCCAAATTGTCTGTGGGCAAAATCCAAAATTCCACACCCCTTGGGTCAGAATACCGCTTCTACAAAATAGCACAATATCATAGCACAATATCTCATCAACTACATGTACAATTACTTGGACTAATAAATACTTGGTTTTGCATTTAGTGTACTGTCACGAAAACTAATGACACAAGTACTTTACCTCGTTTTGTATTTTGTCATGACATCCTGACGGAATGACAATATCTCCACTAGAAAAACGATCAGATTTACGAACAACAGCTATCTTCTTTACATGAATACCTTCTTCGCTGAAGGATTCTCTCGCCGTTTTCTCAAGTACTGCCAACAAATTGATGGACGCAGCCATCTTTGTTAGGGTAATAACGACAGTAATTTCTGTATAATTACGTCTTTTCCGTACTGAGTATATTTCAAAAAAAAATTTTCTTTGACTTTTTTATTATTTAAAAAGAATGTGTTGAGTGCTGTAGATCTACTGTAAACTAGATAAGTCTTTTCTATTTTTGAAAAAAAAGTTTTAATAAAAAGCACAGAGCTTTGTTACGAGTTTCCTCTAATAGTAAACTATAAACAGGACTGGAGGATATCCGGATACCAGCATGATCATAATATTATAATGTAACTTAGGACATTTAGTATACCTTTGTTTTCATTAGCTTACACTTATGAAAATTTTCTTATTTTGTATCATAATGATCAGGGATCGATAGTTAAGGACGTACAATGTCACTCATATTCCATGCAATATTTCAATATCAAATGTTAATTATTCTCAATACTGTATTTTTCATATTGACAAAATGACTCATCATTGAGTTTTATTATATATCAATATAATATACTAGCTATGAATTTGGAAACAAATATCACGGATTTATATTGTAATATAAATCCGTGCAAATATCAAGAATGAAGTACGCTTAAAGGTATCTTTCTTATTGCACTAAATTAAATGGTTGCTTTTGTAATACTGTACGTAAATTCTGTGACAAAAGTTATCTTTTGTCCCAGGTAAATCGAAACAATTCACAAACACGTACTAGATCAGACAGAGAGGAGAAGCCGAATATGTTTTACTAGACAGAAGTGATAACATTTGTTGAAATAGCCTTTAGTGAAACGTTAAATCAGTGACTTTGTGAAAGCATCTAAAACGTTTTGCTTGTTAATATTTATAATATGTTTTAATGTCATTAAAAGATAATTGGTAATCTTAAAAACAGTTTAATGAATTCATTTTCCAATTAAATTTGAAACACACTAAATAACTTATATTGTGCTTATTTTTGTAAAAAAAAACAAAAAAACAAGGGGAATATTGTATACATATGTTTAATTTTGAATGTACATGTACAGGTACTAATTAATTCTGTAATGCGCATGTCCATTATATTCCCGCCATTTATATACCTAGGAGCTCAGATTACTGTTTTGTTACATGGCCTGCGATTGGATGAAAAAAAAATGAAAAAAGTGCACGGAAAAACATAAGATTCAATGGGACATTCAGGTGATTAGATGAAAATGTAATGTTTACATTTGAAAATTATTTTTGAAACTAACACTATATTGTTTTCTTAAGAAAATGAATTGTTTCATAAGTGTCTAGGATAATTTCTCAATTTTAAAACAAGTGTTTGTCAGTCCTGTGATCAGCAGAAAATTTCAGTGAAAAGGTGGATAATCATCCTTGGGGACATTTTGCGAAAAATTTGGCCGGACAACCCTATATAAAAGATCAGTTTAATGTGTCAGGCATGTCATTCTTCTAGAAGAATCGCATTTTAATCATGAATACTCAATTTTAAGATTGGTTTATTATTACTGGTCATTTCTTATATTGTAAGTCTATGGGAAAATTAATACAATAGTCCTGGGACAGAAAGATACACTAGTCTTATCTTCCGCCCCAGAGTAGTCTGACCTAATACATTGAGATAGAACTAGCAACACGTATCTATATACACGTGTATAAACAGTGTATTAAAAGTGCACGGTCTGTGTACATATTAATAAATAGACCCATAATACAACACATATAGGTGTATGTATATGTGAGAAAACGTAGGTTTATAGACCCTATTAACAAATTGTCTCAGTTTCGGTACATACATTGTACATACATACATTGTACATACTCATAAAAGAAATGTTATTTTGTTTACATTTAGTTTCATTATCTAAACATCGTCAACATTATATGTATTGTAAATGGAAACATAAATGAATACGAAGCGTTTCATGATATTTCATTAGCAGCCGCAGTGCGAGTTCTTACACGAGGTGTTTTCTTTTTTAGAATTACATCTGTTACTAAATATCCAGACAAAGTCACTAAACAATCGTATCCTTTAGTAAACATATATTTGCACAACTGGCGTACACCGCCTTGCCATTTGTCATACTCTACCGACAACATATCTATCTTGACCTTTTGCCAGGGAATAGTTCCTAGAACGCCTTTTTCGTCTCCCTCCACGTCTAAGCTAAAATAATCAACTGAAGTCTGATTCAATGCAAGAAGTATAGAGTACAAAGGAAAACACTGAACTAATTTTTGTTGTTTCTTCTGTTTACGTTTTTTCGACGACTTTTGTGAAAGAACCTTTGCTTGCAATGATGTACCTGTAAGCACTTTCTGTAATTTAAAAAATATTGAATAGATTACGTTCATGACATTACCATTAATCACTAAGATATGATAAGACCTGACCATGAGGTCATAATACTTTTTTGAGCTTTGTACCAAATTTCAGGACTGTCGTTGGTCAATTTGCATTTTGTGCTTGTTTCTGACCAATGAAATACCTGAGCATACAAAATTTATTCAAAACCTAAGGCAAAAGCATTTCGGAGATTGAACAAAATTGTAAAACCTACATTTGTATAAAAAGCAATTGTTTTTATCTTCAACAAAATTCAATGATTGAATACTTATAATAAGAACATTAATTAAACAGATACACATGTGCATTAATATCAAATGTTACAAACAATTAGAAAATTAACTGAAATTCCATTCCGAAAGCTGCACTGCTCATGAACGAGAAAAAAATCAAATCATCCTTTTTGGATACCTTTGTTGGGTACGGTTCTGTGCTAAGACAAGCGTTTATCGCATATGCATTTCTATTCTTCTTAATTAGCTTTTTGAATACATCAGGATTTGGCTCCACGAGAACTCCATTCCAGTTCCTCATGCGCTCAAACAACAACGTGTTCGACAAAATCTCTCCATCATAAGCACCACTTTCAACGTAAAAACCATTCTCCTGAAAGAAAACAATATCAAGTATATGTGTTAAATACAGCTTATTTCATGTTCATTTAAATGAAGGAAAATAAATTCTTATGTGCACAAAAATATAAATACAATGTAAATATCTCAAGAAGTCAGTTTCGAGAAATATTGCTTTGTCTAAAAGTATTATTTACTGTGCAATATCATTTCGACATATTAAAAGTATGAGTTTAGTTTGTAAATTTATGACAGTTTCATAGGAAAAAAAAGTTTTCAGTTCTTAAAATAACTTGAATGCCTCACACAACAAAATTTTTCGAACGGCTATTGTCTAACGCAAAATAAGTAGCTTCATGATTAAAAACTGTTCAAGGTCAATAATCGTGTCATAGCTACAAGATAATAAATCATTAATTCATAAACTATGTAATGCATATTTAACTTGGTTGATAAACCACCTGCTGGTAAGCAAACAATTTAAATGATAGAGATTAATATTTCAGATAATTTGAGATAAAAACAGTGATCGCCACGAGTATGAACGTACAATAAAACAGCAATTTAGCAAAGGTACCTTGTATTTCAGCATGTTGTCTATTATAGGTGCTTGACCTCTTGAATTATCCAAGGAATCAGGGTGATCCAGAGAATACGGTTTGTTGGACGGCGCTACGAGATAATAGTCTCGTATAAGCTCTATCAAGCGACTGTCGTCTGCACCGACTTTCCTTTTATTTAGCTTAGTCATTTCTGCTTTCACATCAAAAAATTTGCTTGCATTATATGTGTCTGATTTTGAATCCGGTAATTCCTTTCGCTTGTCATCTTTAAGAACATTGCATGGAGCTTTTTGTCCTCCATAACCCCAAGAATCTTCATTCCAAAATTCAACCTTTTTATTAATGTGTTTAACCACATCTATTACTCCAACACATATTATCACAAAGATAACAATAAACAATAATACCTTTTTCAAAGATAACTTAGGCATAACAAGAAAAAATTATTAATATTGCAACTGATAATGTGTAAATTTAAAATTGTGTGACTTATTTTCACATTTAGAAAGATATGCGTATGTAATCATATCAATAAATAGGCCTTTCATTATCTATATTGTCAGTTTAGTCGTCCTTGTAATATCTGGATTTATTTAACATTATACTCGTTGTACCATTTGATTTATCATTGATCTGTAACGAAACTGTAAAATAGAAACAGTTTTCTCCATGATTCCTAATTAAATGGAATATTTGTAATTTGAATTTGAAATGTATATGTAATAAACATAACCAAAATATCCTGATAGCTAAAGGAAATCTTTAAAGTTGTTATATCATGTGGAATATTAAAGTATCTAATTGATACAACCGATAACTTATTAAGAATATCAGGTAATAATTTTTTTTACAAATAACAATATAGTTACCTATAAATTTGTTTTCTAAAGACGAAATCTAGTTAGACAAAACTCCAGACCTGCTAACTACTGACACTATTTTAGTAGCTATGTTCGGACAAGCAGCGGAAATAGTCATCTTTTTAACACCTTGCTGAGGATACTGTAGAAGCATCATAAGATCATGTACTGGGGGAAAGATAAATAAATGTTTTAGATTGAAGTTACCTCCCTTCCATATACTAACGAATTTTTCGTTTCTTTAGATACATTATGCTCATCTTTGAAATAAATACTTCTACTTTCATTGAAATCTAGAACGATTCATACTGAATATACTAGTATATTTAACAGAACATACGTTTTATTTAGACTTGTACATAGTACATCGTCATGCATATAGATAAATAAAACAATTATCACGTCACGTGATCATGGTAACACAAAGTACAATATGATACTTAGAATATATAATAGAATGTACATTGTTATGAGTAATAAGTAAATATATTCTCAATCATAGCAGTAATAGAAATTCTACTGGCAACCTCACAGGATATTGTATACCATATTTTACCCAGTGAGTCTAACCATCCCACTGAAAGTAAAACTCGCTCCCGATAAAGGCGAAGGATAGATGTTAACCAGCAGCAAAACTAAATACTTATTGAGCAGTTTCTTTCTAGATAGAGAACAGTATCATTAAAAGTTATACATGTTAACACACAAATATCATATGATAATGTATCAAATAAGAGAAAATACCTTTATTATTTAAGAACAATGCATGATTACACAAAAAAACATGATGTTATAATATATGAGAATAGTAAAAAAAAATTATTTTCCAAGAGGATGTTAAAAAATCAAATATTTAAGAGAGTATTTCTAATTGCCAAACTTTCTTTAATGTATCTTGCTAAATTCATCAATAAAAGCTTGTTTGGAGTTTGCAATAACTGAATAAATTTGAACATCGATGGTCTAACATAAAATATTTTTTTATATATGTCTTACGAATATTATTATAACAAGGACAAACCAGAACAAAATGATATTCATCTTCGATATCAAGGGTATTACAGCACGGACAATATCTCTCGTTTCGTGGTAATCTATGTCTACTATATCTACCAGTTTGTATTCTGAGAGAATGGGCTGATAATCTTATTTTGGAAATATACATTCTTAAACTACGTGGTAAAAGGTCAAGGTAAATTTCATACGATAAATTAGTTTTGCAATTTTTATATAGATCTAAAACATTATTATTTTCAATATTACCATGCCAATCTTGTACATAATTATCAACAAGTCTTTGTTTTAATATTCTAGAAAATAGTTTACCATCAACCTTATCACTATTTATAAAATAATCAGCAACACCATATGCATACAATAATTTGGTAACATTTGAGACCTAGTTATTATATCCATGTTTCTTAGTTCGTAAACTTTTTTTCATAATTATATTATCAGTTTGGATTCGTTTTACACCAGAACTTGATTACTTTAACAAAACGAGCAGTATATAATGGCCACCTTCCTTATTCACCATAAACCCCAGCATCACATGTACTTGTTCTGACATTCAGAATATTTTTACAAAATTTAAGGTTAATACGTTCAATTTCTTTGCATTTAGAATGCCCTCATTCTTCAGCAGAGTAATTTTAGATAGAATCTACAAATGAATCGAACAGTTGGTATTTAACTTTAGGTTTTATATCATATTTTTCACAATTATAAAGTAATACATTTAATGCCTTCAGTCCTTTGCCAGTTAAGTGTTCCAGATTTCGAGAAAAGTTGCCCGTATAATTGAAAATAGTACCCAGGTAGTTAAAATTATCAACTGTTTCTAATTGTTGCCTATTGTAGTACCATTTTTCATTTTCACGTACCCTACCTCTCAAAACTATAAAATTCAGTTTTTAAAGTATTAACTTCTAATCCCCAACAGTTGCAGTAATTGTATAAATTACCTAGACTTGTCTGAAGATCTTCTGGTGTTTTACCTAGTATTGTCATATCGTCAGCAAATAACAACAACAATATAACTATATCATCAATTTGTAAACCTACATTGATATCATTTTGAAGATATAATTCTAGGTCTTCAACAAATAATGAAAACATCAGAGGTGAAATTACCTCCCCTTGTCTTAGACCCACTGCATACATGAAGAAATCGGAATATGAACTGCAAGAACGTACACAAGATTTAACTTTATCGTACATATCTTTAATAATACACAAGATTTTACCTTGAACACCACACTTATATAATTTTAACCATAGACAATTTCTATTTATACTGTCAAAACAAGATTTCAAGTCAATAAATCCAACATATAATCGTTTATTGTTGTTTATATAATGTTGTATAATTGAATGTAAAATAAATATGGCATCAACAGTAGACCTGCCTTTTCTAAATCCAAATTGAGCATCTGAGATTACATGATTATTTTCACAAAATGCTTCTAATCGTTTATTTAAAATAGATGTAAAAAGTTTAGAAAGACAACTTACGAGGGTAATTCCTCTAAAATTTTGTACATTATTAACATCGCCCTTTTTATGTATAGGAACAATTATTCCTTCGGTCCATTTATCTGGAAAAATCCCAGACTCAAAAATTGCATTAAATATATCACACATATGTGAACCCAAGATATCTATTGATTGTATAAAGTATTCATTTAAGAGAAAATCGGGACCTGCAGATTTTTCCCTTTTAAGAGATTTGACAGCTTCCAAAATTTCAGTAATTGTAATTGGTATATTCAATTCATCGAAAGCACAGCCAGAATCATAAAAATTATGTTCTTCACAAAAATCATTTGCTTCTTCATTATTACATTCAAAGACGTCGTTATATAAATGTTTAAAATGACTATAAAAATTTTCTACTGTAATTTTATTGTTTTGTGTTAAATTTTGTTTCTTTTTAAAGTACTTCCAAAATTGTTACGGTTTGCTGAACCTTAATTTTTCTATATCTGCATATTTACTTCTTAAGTAAATATTTTTCTTTTTTCTTATTATATTCTTATATTCTTGTTTACATCTACAAAAATATTCTCTACTTGATCTTGTTTTACATGCATTAAACGCATGCAAAGCGTCTAAATATGTCGCTTTTGTTCTTTTACATTCATTGTCGAACCAGTCTGCATCTTTTGCCGGGGTCGTGTCGGAAAATGAATGATTAATTCTATTAGGAATGTTTTTTGAGAATAAAGGGTCTGCCACATTTCTTATTAGGCTAGTAAAATTATTAAGTGCATCATTTATAGATAAACGATTACCATTTTCAATAGCGCAGGTCAACCTATTAAATTCTGGCAATTTAGCGATCAGACTGTTTCGAAATGTATTTACATGATTATCATTCCATTTACAGCGTACAAAAACATTTTCATTCACCACCGGTTTTATATTGTTATACAAAACAGTGAAAAACTAACGGGAGTATGGTCACTCCATTCATTTACAGAATGTATAATAAAATTACAAATATTTGGGAAATTCTTTTCATGAGTTAAAAGATAATCTATTACGGATGCTCCGTTATCTGTTACATAAGTATACGAGCCAATATTAAAGTCACTCCCTAATCTACCGTTAACTATACGTAGATTATTTGATATACAAAGATCAAGCAGTTTTGTACCAAAAGCATTACATATTTTATCCATTGAGGCCCGTACAAGGTCATTATCGGGAACGTAATCAAAATCATCAAAGCATTCATTAATTCGGTCCAGTACAACAAAATCTCTTTTAACCCCAACCCTTGAATTATAATCCCCTATCAGATAAATAGAGCCTCTACTTTCAAAATATGCTATATCATTTTCAATGCATTCAAATAAGTCTACATTAACTGTATTGTACGCTGGAGAATCATCACCCCAGAGATAAACCCCACATAAATATACGTCATTTTCAAAATGAAAAAAAACATTTGTCTAATTAATCCATATTATGGTATCGAATTGATTTTTTATCACTGAAATACCAGAAGACAGTTCAGTTTTATAATATAATGCAACCCCTCCGCTGGCTCTCTTTGCTCTTCGGTGTTGAAATTTTCTGTAGAAGTTGTGAACATTATAACCTGTTAATTCTAAATTACTGTCACTATAAGCCCATGTTTCATATAGAAATATAATATCATGTTGGGCCAAGATGTTTACTAATTCCGAATTGTCCCGCTTAGTTCTACTTAATCCATTGATGTTCCATGATAATATAGACAGATCATCCTCCTCGTATCCCTAGTCTCGTACAGGTTTCCCGTTGATGTAAAGTGTATCGTAAGATATCCATGATGTTTTACCTTCACGCCTGGCCTCTTTCATTTTAGGTACAAGGGATTTCCTCTTATCAACAATCTCTTTTGGGAACTGTTCATTCACAAAATAAGGGGTACCTGACAATGATTTCCACTGCTTTCTAACAAACTCTTTCTCCTTATACATTGTAAATTTGGCTACAAAGTTGCGGATTCGCCCGTCTCTTTTGATACCCATCCGATG